TGAATAGAGGTTTTGCTCACCAAGGTGAAAATGTATATTACTCTAAGCTAGATTGTCTTTTAAAGCAGGTACAGACTTTCCCTTGACAGTTGTTACCATGGTGCAAGTAAAAGATTTCCTTGCAAAACACAAAATTCAGTAATAAATATACAACTGAAAAACTATTTGCATATGTTTGCTTTTCAATTTTGGCTGCAACCTCAGGAAGACAAATTATGTTCCATAAACTAGTATAGGTAGTACAGTGTTTTATGACAAATGATTAACGACTGCAAAAGGTGCTGCTGTGTAGGAGGATTTTTACTTACTTGGATCAGTGGCCGTGGGGCTTACCATTTGTGCCAGATGACCAAGTGTCTAAATAAGTATGTCCAGTAGATTATCATCATTAGCCAGGACTGGATTTAGCAGGAGACAGCTAAGAGGAAGCATTGTCCCTGAACAGTCATCCTTTTAAATAGAAAGGAATTAAAAATCAGTTCAAATAAACATGTCACTGAAGTAACCAGTGCCAGAAAACAGCAAAATCTTGTGAGATGTAATCAAGTAGATGGGGTGGGACGTGAAAATTGTAATGCAATACTATTGGTATTTACAATGTATGTTTCTGTGTGCAGGAAGGTGACATTTTCAGTCTATCATTAGCCACAAGACATGAGAGCAGAAAGATCTACCTTGGAAAGATTTCATTTCTACACACTGAGCATGCTCCTCTTCTTCCTGTAAAATTGGTTGGCAAGGTAGCATCTGCAGAGATTGTAGCAAAACGTACCACTGTTTCCCAATCTGATCTTTCTCAGTTTGGTCTGACAACGATCCTGTCCAGTCTATGGATAAGATACAATTGTTCTCCGTGTCTAGAAACTGGTGCTAGCAGTTTTGTGCACAAGGCTTCCAGTGTGGAAAATGAATATATAAAGTGTAACTAACACTTAACCCTCCCACCTGAGTACCTGTTTATTTTGTAGTGCACCTAGCCCTCCCTCCTAGTCTCATACCCACATCCAATCCAAGAAGATATTGGCTGTGTGGACTCCTCAGCACTGCATAGCCACTTGTTACAATCTTCTTAGCCAGGCATGCATGAGCTCTGCACTGTCTATGGTTGCCCTCAAAGGCCAGTTGTATCTGTAAAATTAGACCCCATTTCCTCTTATATCAGATGTCAAGAGGCCCCCACCATTAAAAGTCAAGAGTCCCCCACACTCTCTTAGATCACAGTGCACCCCCCCCCCCCCCTTGCCTTGTATTGCTGCCAGGCAGAAGCTAAGGGTAGAGCTGAAAGTTCTGGAAGCATAAAGTGCTGAGTCTGGAGGAGGACCAGAGGATGCTGGAGTCAGCTGCCAGAGTCTGCTGAATGCTGAGACCAGGGGAGGCAGAGATGGGAGATGGAGTGCTCTGGCTGCACAGAGAGGCACAGGATCTGTAGGAGGAGTTCTGTCTTCCTCTCTGCTGTCGACTGCTGAAACAAGATGGGGGGCAGAGACAAGGGGAGTGCCGCAGCTGCAGGAGAGGTGCGAATGCCACATGAAATGGCCTGGTGGGCTGGATTCAGACCCCAGGCATTGGGTTTGACGCATGCTCTATCCCTTAACAGGTGCGTTTAACCCTCTCCAACAACATTTAACTTTTATCCTATCACTTAACATATAAACCCCTTCAACCACAAATCCACACACATAACTTCTAAAGAAATCCTACTTTTTTGAGGGGATGGAGGATATTTATTTTTTTGTTTTAAATATGCATGTACAAAACAAATAAAAATGTTAACCAAATTTAACACCTGTGAGCCCCCCCCCCTTCTCCCCCCCTGAAAAATTATATGAACTCAAACAACTAAAACTAACCCCCTAAAGCGCGTCCTTATAACTTTACCTCGTCCCCAACACATAACTGTTGAAACAGCAAAGTCCAATGCAGGGCTGCAATAATGGGTAGGCAGAAGAGGTGGTCTTCATGGGAACTTCACGGGGAAGGAGGAGGCTTACCTGCAATAAGCCCTGCTTGCAAAAGATTTTTCAGTGCAAACGCAAGCTCCTTCAACTACTGCACTGTTGCAGAATCTGCCTAATAACTACAAGCAATGTTCAAAATACAGAACATCTCCTGATTTTATTTAGCTGTTTATGATCAACCTAAGCATGTAACAGCTTATGCTTAAGCCCTGATTTGGATCTCTGGATTTTTGGAAGTTGAGCCCTCTCTGATGCCAGCCATACTGGATGATGGCTCAAGTGTTAAGCTTGCCTCCACTCTTCTGCTGCTACGTCTGCTAGGAAAGCTCTGTCTCTGCCAGCCTTCCATCTAGTCCTACTGCCTGCACAGGAAGTGCACAAATTGTGGGGTTTTATGCGTCTCTACATTGGTGAACTGGTGGCAATGAAGGATAAGGAAATATATGTGCAGAGAACTAGAAAAACTGAAACAAATGTACTTTCACTGTAGGTGTTAGAGAACTTTGTCCCAGCACTGCCCTAGGCCTAGCATTAATTTAACCTATCCCCTTAACTTAACCCTAACACTAAATAATACTTATTCTCCTTCAGACTTATCTTGTTCTGTGCTAGATGCCTGTGTGTTTAAAGCATTGAGGGTGGCATCCTAGCTGCAGAGTAAACTGATTTGTCTTCTCTGCGTGCAGCTCCTGGGACCTTCTAGCCCTCTTCTCTATGTATAGCTCCTGGGACATGTCATCCCTTTCCTCTGGGTACCTCTATCACTCTCTGTAAAGCTTTATCCCAGTGACCTCCCTACCCACACCTTCTATAAATGCCTAGTTTATTTGTTGTAGTTAGTACTTCACCTCTTAAATGTCTGGATTTTCTTATCACTGTATGGTTTGCTGAGTGCTCCTGTCTGTCTTGTTCTGCTCTCCTCTTTTATCCACTACCAGTCATTGTTGCTGCCCTCACTCTATTGTCACACAAGATGCCCCCTAAAGAATATGTAAACTCAACATTTCATATTCCTGATATGTGCCTGCTGTACCCTGTACTTGTATGAAAAACTATCCTGTTCTGTTTGTATTGCTTCCTTTTTGTGAAATGCTTGGTGTTCCTGCCAGTCCCTCTGCTTTCCTAATAAAAACTGACCACACTAAGCAGGAGAACACACCATAGCCAGTTCTCTGGCTGTGCTGGAAACTCCTGGGAGTGGGCAACAATGTGTATGTAATTTGCTTGTAGCTATGCAGAAAAAAAACATTCGATGTATTTTATATTTTTATAGATTTTTTTTTATCAATAAATTCTATAATATACTGTATAATACATAGCTCATATTGGTAAAAATCAATGCATATATAAATTGGAATTGATGTCACCATATAATTATTCTTGACTGCTGTGACCAAATCATTTATCAAAAGCAGATCAGTAAAGTATGGTCACATCTTGTCATCAAAAACACTGTCATCCGAGGGTGCACAAAATCCAAATTTCTATAATGCTGCCAAATAACAAATCCTTCCAAAAAGATTGAGATGAATACCAAATCCGCTATAAAATAAATACATGGAAGATTAGTTGTCATGGTATTTTAATGGTTTATAAATGGTGTAAGAACACAATGGGAATGCATTGTAGAAATACAAATTTGCCTGGCATCCTAAATTATATTTGCTGAAAACAAAATAGCTATAGATTAATGGACTACATTCTTTGGTACCATCACCACCACCACCAAATATGGTACCATCTAAAACCTGTTAGTTGCAGAGGCTGATTTAAAAGATATCAGACTGAAAATGTCAAAACTTTGCACATAGTGGACTGACAACTGCAACATCTGTATCTCTGTCCCCTGTGCATATAGGTTTAAATGAAGAGAAGTACAATTGGCAGGTTTTCAGTAGAGGTATGGAAATCAGAAAACCTTTCACCTAAAAACGGAGCAAAAAATAGAAGAGGAAACCAAACTTGATAGGAAAAACTGTACACAAATATTTAAAACTGCATTAATTTGATTTGTACGTAACTTCCACCCTGTGTCCGTAAACATAATTTTAGAGTAAATAAAATGCCCGATTGTTTTTGACCCGGCCTGCCTGACTTTGCTTGCATTGTATGTATTGTTATCTGTGGATGGTTTGGTTTGGTTCGTTTGCACTGTGTTTATGTTTTAGTATTACACTGCGTTTTGTATTGTTAGTATTAATAAATTATATTGTTTATAACATATCTGAAGCCTGCGTTTCCCTGCGTCAGTTCACATACCTCTGGTCATACCTGGAGCCGACATTACACCAAGGCCAATCCTGACCAGAAGTGGCTGCACAGGGAAGCCATCTTGGCTTGTTCCTGGGAAGGATGGATCTTGATGAGGTTGTGTATTTGTCGCTGCTGGTTTTTGATGACAGAGAATATGCTTATCAGACTCTGAGGGAGTATACCCGGGATCAACTGCTAGAATGTATACGGGTCGCTCATGTTCTAGTAGATCAGGGCACAGAGTTCTCTGAGGTGCAACCTTTGATTCAGGTTTGTGTAGAGTTGGCTTCATCTGGTACCCCTGAAAGCAGGAATGACTTTTTGCCACCATTTTTAGTGCAGACCAGGTAGAGTCCCTGGTATGGTTATTAGAGGATGATGTTGATTGCTTCTTGGAGCATTATGCTGCATGTTCACCACAGGTATTAAGGGATTGTATAAACGCAGTGCAGTCTTTGACCAGACAGGCTTTGTGTAAGCTCAGCTTTGTTCAACCCATACTGCAGACATGGTCAGACTTGTTGCACCAAGCTTCAGTCAGCTTGCAACGTCATTCCTCTGCTCAAGGCACTCTTCCTGCATCCCCGACAGCACCCCCAGTGACGGCCCAGTATACTCTGCTAACTACCACATACCAGTCCCCTGCTCCCCACTCGCTGCACCTATCCTTTCTTTGGCCCTATGGAGAGGTCAACTGTGGTGGCTGCTCCCTCCTCTGTTCCATCTTCCAGCTCTTCTCTGTCCTCAGCTGCTCCATTCGTTTGCAGACCTGCGTTTACTTGCAGTGCTCCAGTAGTTAAAACCAGAAAAAAGCGAAAATTCTTTCCAACCAGTACCATCCTGCCAGTATCCAAACCGGTGAGCCTGCCGTCTGAGAACCTGCCTTCCGTGGTTCAGCCTGGTGCCTCGGCACCCGCACTTCAGCCTGATGTCTCTACCCAGCCTGATGTCTGTACCCAGCCTGATGATCCTATCACGCCTGATGACCCAGTGCCCACTGTCATATCTGGTGACTCGATGCCCGCTGTCGAGCCAGACGATCCAATGCCTGATGACCCAGTGCTGTCATGCCTGGTGACTCAATGCCCGCTGTCGAGCCAGACGATCCAATGCCTGATGACCCAGTGCCCACTGTCATGCCTGGTGACCCGATGCCCGCTGTCGAGCCAGACGATCCGGTACCTGATGACCCGGTTCCCGCTGTCATACCTGGTGACCCGATGCCCGCTGTCGAGCCAGACGATCCAATGCCTGATGACCCAGTGCCCGCTGTCATGCCTGGTGACCCGATGCCCTGTCGAGCCAGACAATCCAATGCCTGATGACCCAGTGCCCGCTGTCATGCCTGGTGACCCGATGCCTGCTGTCGAGCCAGACGATCCAACGCCAGATGACCTGGTGCCCGCTGTCGATCCAGACGATCCGGTACCTGATGACCCGGTGCCCGCTGTCATGCCTGGTGACCCGATGCCCGCTGTCAAGCCAGACGATCCAATGCCTGATGACCCAGTGCCCGCTGTCATGCCTGGTGACCCGATGCCCGCTGTCGAGCCAGACGATCCACTGTCTGACCCAGTGCCCGCGGTCATGCCAGTTGACTCGGAGCCCACTGTCGTGCCTGGTGACTCGGTGCCCACTGCCTTGCCAGATGAAGCGGTGCCCGCTGGCGAGCCAAATGACCTGATGCCTGGTGACCCGATGCCCGCTGTCGTGCCTGATGACCCAGTTCCCGCCGCCCCGCCTGGGGGTCCAGTGCCTGCCGCCCCGCCTGGGGGCCCTGTGCCTGCCGCTCCTCCCTGGGGGCCCGGTGCCCGCCGCCCCGCCTGGGGGCCCGGCGCCCGCCGCTCCGCCGGGGCCCGGCGCCTGCCGCTCCGCCTGGTGGCCTGGTGCCCTGCCGCTCTGCCTGGTGATCTGGTGCCTGCTGCCCCCAGCCTGGTGGCCCGGTACCTGCTGCCCCGCCCGGGCGGTGGTGAACAAATGTGTGCCTTACTTAGATGAGTATTCGTTTTTATCTTTAAATAAATGGGTGGGTTTTGAATTGTGGAGTTAGCCCTCCTGTGTTAGAATGAATGGTTAATCCATGGTAATGTCTTCCTATATACTGTCCCAAGCTTTCTCCGTACTGACCTGTGTATGTCCTATCTTGCTGCACTTTTTGTTTTAGTTTGGTGTGAGCATCGTTTGATCCTACATGTCTCTGTCTAGATTTCTTGCTGGGTGAGAAAACAACAGGAGTGTAATGTTTTTGAAAATTTCCTTTCACCTAGGGGTTAAAAAGACAAGGCCAGCTGTGCTGGGACTTTTGGTAGAGCTACTACAAAAACAACTCGTGAAAGGGGTAGAAGGGTTAAATTTGTGTGTTGTAAATGTCTAAGAGGACAGAAAGGACTCAGGAACACTGGCAGAGATGTAAAGTTCTGGGGGAGGGTTTTCTATATATCACCCAATTTGAAAACGGTGAACCCTGATTTGTCATGATATGACATGAAACACACCCAAAGTTTGTGAATTGGTTTGATTTTGGTTGAATCAAGAACTTGGAGAAAATGGCTGCCATCTCTTTTACCGTAGAGGGAAAGGCTACACTATAAACCACAAGTTAAATGTTGCTTTCTCATTACTGATACTTCTCACAATATGTTTCTAAAAATAGCTGTCTAAATACCTTTTTTTTTTTATTATTATTTTAAGTTTCTCCATGCAGTCACATGACCACAAGGCTCCAACTCAACCCCTTTTTTTTGCGGTTGGTGAGCGCAAACTCTTTCCTGGTTGACAATGCCATGGAGCTATGGATGCCGGCAGGATATCATCACTGCTCTATAGGATTCAGCAGAATTGTCAGCCACATAGGACACACAAACTAACTATACCTTTGTGGTCACATGACCACATAGAAAAACTTTAAAAAGTGTTTAGACAGACATTTATCAGACAAATTATGCAGGGAGTATCAGCAAGGGGGAAGAAACATTTAACATGTGATGTGTTGTGTAGCCTTTCCTTTTACCATGATAAATGCATTTGGTGCACTACTGCACATTTGACATCTTGCTCCTTCTTATTAGATAAATGAGTTGTCTGCTTCTGGTCCATAAGCCTCTGTGTATCCTATTTTGCATTTTCATTTACATTTCCTATACGCATTCTGATTTGCCCTCGTTATGTGTCTCTTTCGTCATTCACACATTAAACTATGTCGTATAGTGGCTCTTTCCAGCTGCTTTCCTCAGCATCATTTTCCTGGGCTCATTCGGGTGCATTGAGGACAGGTTCTGGGAGATTGTAAACCTCTAATGAGCTTATGTCCCGCTCCCCTCTCTGGACCACCTGCTCTCATAAGGATGACAGCACATCAGAGCATCGAAGGTCAGACTAAAGGATGTTGAGTCTTACCTGTTACTATAAACATCTTGTTTTTTAATGTAGGAAAAAAATGACAATATATAGTATAGGCTTTCTTCAGTATCCTTTCTGCATGTCATTTTGTATGTTAATGAGAACAGACAAAATGGGCGCTTCATAATTTAGTTTACTACATGAATACATTTTCTACACATCTATGGCAGTCGAGCCTCTGATTATAGATATCTTGGAGGCAGATGCAGTATTGGAACCCTGACAGACTGTACTCTATGTATAAATGTCCCGCCTGTTATAGGCCTGTCAGGCTATGTCCTTATCATTTTGGTGAGGGTGATGGTTATGTCAGGCAAACAGAGACATCTCTCTGTCTCCCGTCTATTTCAGTGACCCATCATGTTTGTGACATGGATCTAAATATACACGAACACACACACAGTAAATCATACTCATTGTAAAATATGGCCATCTGCTTGTATTTGTTTAAGCAAAATGTTTAAATGTTTTTTAGTCTACTTTTCCTTCTCAGGAACCCCTACCCGTAGTTTGAATCTCTTCTATACCTCTTACCTTTCATCTCTTCTTATGTTGTTACTCCCGTGTTTTTCTCCTTTTTACTGATTTCTCTTTCCTGCATCTATTAGCAAACTAGTTATATGCGAATAAGGAGTACTTGTTTAACTAAATTCTTGCAGTTATAAACTTTATTCATGTGTACATACATTTGGTTAGTGTGGTCAGTAGTTAGAACCCTTGGCAGGTATCTTCTGCTGTCTGTAACCCCACTGGGCCTGGTGACTGTCACCAAGACAGAAAGTGGTGGGAAATCCAACATTTACAGTTGTCACCAGAACAAGGATAGAACCATATCAGGTGACATCTATCTAAGAAGGAAATTGCGCTCACTTTGGAAATATTAGCTCTAAGACTGAAAAAAAATAAAATGACAGGGATTTTACCCTTCTCTACTTTATCCAAAAGTAGAAAAAAAAATTTTTGGCTAATATGCACCTTAAGTCAATCATTAGGTTTCAACAGAGAAAAGAAACAGAAAAAATCCTAGCTAAATTCTGAAAATGAACTTTTCACCTGAAATGTTAGCCCAATGCTTAACATTAGCAAAACTAAATGTTTGGTGCCCACAGATAGCAGTGACCATTACATGATTTAATCTAAACTGTAAAACAACAAGCACACATTGAAAAGACAAACACACTATGGGGTAGAGGGCTTTTCTCTGATTTGTAGATTTGGGGGGAAACATTTTTATGCAAACACATTTTAAAAATGTTTTTACCTGAAGACAGAAAGAAAACGGCTAAACCTTTGTGGCTAAATTCTTGTGTTTAAAAAAAAAACATAAATTATTTAAAAATACAAACTGAAGGCACAATGCCATAATTTCAGAGTTACAATGCAAACAATATAAGCAAAAACGAAAGAATAGGTTGTCAAAAAATTTAAACAAAGGGCTGTTTTCCTATAGAACATTCTCCAAAAAGTTATTTAAATATATTAATATTAAATAGGCTATGCCTGATCTTAAAAATAACTCAAAGTTGGTCACTTTGGACCCAGAGAAAACAAACTTGCATCGTATTAAGCTCTTTGCATGCAAAGTAACATGGTGGTAATGACAAAAATTCCCAAGATTGTATTGTCAAAATCTTAAATGCACCAAAGTGGGTTTGCCTTGATATTGTCTAGAAACGATTAGACATGCAAATGTGCATAAGCCTCCTGGATGAGATGTCTTACACTCATGAGTTCTCAAGCAACTGAACTCAGTTATTGTAAAATCAAAAGTTGCTTCAACAAAGTAAGGGTGTGCACACTTATGCAACCATATTATTTTAGTTTTTTAGGTTTACCCCCCCCCCCCCCCCTAAAATATTTCAGTTTGTTTTTCAACTGAGTTGGACAGTTTATAGGTCACATTAAAGGTTGACAAAGTCCTGAAATGATTTATCTTTGTCTCGTTTTTTACATCACAGAAACATGACATTTTAACAGGGGTGTTCAGACTTTTTCTATCCACTGTACTTATAAAGGGATCAAGATCTTCAGCCAATAACTAAAAATCTTTAAAGTTAACTGTTGTTGCAGGAAAGATTTTGGAGAGTTTGCAAAGGGACGACGTAAAAGAGTATCTGCTAAAATGATATAACTGTGAATTTCTGAATGTTTGAATTTGTCAAACAATTCTATTTCTGTTTTATGGAGATGTCAGAAAAAAAGCAAAGGTTAAGCTGTGGATGTGGTGGCAAAAAAGCACATATCCCCCCTTATGCTCAGCTCTAGGTCTCTGCAAAAGCCCACCTCTCTCCACCTTCAGCTGGCAGCTCTGTACAGGTCCTTCCTCACTAACCAGTATACTTCAAAAAGATAAATGCACTACATTCCAGTATCTTCCAATCAGATGCTCCTTCCCTTGACACATTTCAACCTCTATTGGAGGATATCCTTGGATATCCGAGAATAATTCATGTATCTTTTTGAAGTAGCAAAAAAAGATGTGTCTGTGAGTGGGGTAGCCCAAGGCTTGAACTGTGACTTTTTTTAATCTCTTAAATTATATACATTTTGGGATTAAAAGTACAATTTTTGTATTTGCAGATGAGACAAAGACCTAGACGAACTGGATGGTTACATATACCATAGCAAATGAGGTTCCATTTTAATAAATGTGAAGTTATGCACTTATTGATAAAACACGCAGGCATCACACAATGTAGGGGCATAAAACTGGGTTAAGCGGTGGTGAAGAAGATTTGGGATATTCTAATAGATCATAGTTAGTAATCACATGCAATTGAATCTGCAGATTCTAGAGCTAGTAAGATACGCTCTGACATAGACATCATTTCCCCTATGCAAAATATTAGTAAGCATTGCCTGGAATATGCAGTTGAGTTTTGTCGACCAGATCATAAAATGATTTTTGTAGAACTTGAAGTAGTGCGTGACAGCAA